GCAAATTCATCAGTTTTACAGCCCTTCATAGCCACAGTCAGGAAACTCTGGCAGAGAACACAAATTGATAAAATGAGTTAATTTTACTATACTTATTTTTTTTTCTTTCTAAAAGCCCTCTCTTTTAGGCAGTGTTCAGGAAACATATTACAGTAAAAGGGAGATAACAAAGGAGTTGGATTCTCTTGCCATAAATTACTTTCCAAGTTAATTTCCTTTAACGATGATTCCAGATTCGCCCGTTTTCATGGCATTGTGTGTCTTACAACTGAGTCTTTGATGGAAAGAAGAACAAGTATTTTCCCATGTTCTCTCCTTTTGTGGCAGTGACATGGACTTTCTTATAGGACCTTTGCCAATGGAATGCAAAACAACATGAAATTGTTCCGGGGTAGAACTGTGTGCCATTGTTGCATTCCCCAGCTCCCCGTATAAAGTACAAGCTCCAAACTATCTGGGAGTGTTTTCGCCATACAATAAAAAGAAAAGGATGTATTAATTTTTCATAGTTATTTTATGAGTTAGAAATTGAGTGCCGAGTCCTGATAGCCTTTGAAAAAGATTTATGTCCTTATTCCCGTTTTTCCCTTTGCGTATGTTGGGGAGGGAGCATGCCAGTCTGAGGGAGGGACAACTGTGATGGCTGATGCCTAGAATGTAAGCCCCTCAAGGGCAGAAGTTTTTGTGTCCTCTCCACCGTTTCTAAGCACATGAGGCAATGCCTAAAGGGCTCTTTAAATACGCATTGTGTCCCATGAAATGCAGCCTCGGTGGGTGTGCATTCAACAGTAGGCTGGGCACATGGGTGGACATTTTGATAATGCTTCCTGCCAACTCCTGTTGAACAAGCCATAAACTCAGCAGCAGCATCTTGCAGGCAGAGGAGCCTGGGAATTTGGATAGAATTTTTTTTCCCATAGTCCTCTCTTTCCAGCAATGCAACCCTGAGCAGATTGTCTCTGGTGGATGGCAGAAGTTCAATAACCACAGCCCTATCCAACTGCTAATGTGTACAGAAGAGCAGGTCATCAAGAGGGTTGGCTACTAAAGTAACCCCTTTCTTCCAATAGCCCGCATTACTATAATGATGCCTTAATAGCAAACCATTTATTAAGAAATGACACAGAGTACATTCTACTCATGACAGGAAAGAGGGGGAAGGGAAGATGCATGACTTAGAAATAACATCTGAAGGCTCAATTTCCAAAGTTAACCTTTTGAGGAAAAACTCCTTGGTGAACAAGATACTTAGGCTGGAGTAATGGCAGCATCGCTTAAGAAACAGGGCCCTATTTCTCTATGCTTATGCGTATTTATAGAAGACGCTTTCACTTTGACTCCAAGGTGAGGGAGGTGGATGGGAATGATAACTATTTCCTTAATTCAGAATGTGTTTATTGGTCTTCGCCTGTCTACACAAAGGGTAGGATTCTGCTTAGGGGTGCAGGGGCAGTTCTGGGATCTGAGTGATTTCATGGTCAGGTGTTCTGATTCATCTTCATGATCTAGGGAAGTTGTCCCATCCTTTTGTGCCTCGGTCGCATCCTACTGGCACTGTGAGTATTAAATGGAGTGATGGGTTTATCATTCCATAGCAGCTGGCCCATGGAAAAAAAATGTGTAATGGTATGTGATGATGATGACGGTGGTCCTGGGAGCAAGCTTTGCGTGTTTATCATAATCGTTACAATTCATGGCTCTAGTGCTTCCTGGATAGTTTTCCAAGGTCTCCAAAAGACCATCCACCATTTCCTTCCAGTCTTCATTGCTTGCCAAAAGCTCTACCTGTTCTCCAGATGGGATGCTTGGAGAATGCTGAGCCTGCTATAGGGACATTGCGCCAGGAAACCTGCAGTAGGTGCGAGGCCGCCTCCTTGCCAGTCACAGAATGTCATCCTACCACGGTGACCATGCATAGCTCATGGGCTGCAGTCACCGACTGCACATGGGAGCATGTGCATGCAAGGACCTCATATGGAAGGCGCAGTTTGGGTCTCTACATTGTTTAGGATTATTTAACTCAGGTTGAGGAGCTCACTCTCCTTTCAGATTCAGGGATGTTTTAAACATTGAGCTGTGCATGTTGGCCAACCTCCGCAATCACTCTCCATGGGTCCATTGAGCACTTTGGACAAGGCCCTCTGGTGCCTTCAGTGTATTCCCCATCGCTGTAGGTTAAAGAACATGTGTGCTGGCTGAGTTAACTTTTAAATATCTGTACACAGGTGGTGCACCGTATTTACATATGCCTGTTCCTTCCTCCACAAATTCTGACTCCCTTGATATTTTCAAAAGATAGGAGAGGAAAAGACACTCTCCTAGGGCAGATCACAGTGTACATGAACCATCCAGTAGAAGTGCCAATATCCACGAGTGTGTAAAAGCCTCAGAGTTCCTTCAGTCAGCCCAGGGAAGACCTTCCCACTCACCCTTATCCCATCACAGCAGCCAGCTGCAGGAGGACCTCACCTTCCTCTCCATGCTCAGGGGTGAGCAAGCTTTTCCACCAAGATGAGGCCTCGGCTCCACTCAGAAATTTGTGAGGAAAAATCCAAATCCACACATTTGACACTGACAGGCCTTTTCATTCTCTCTAGTTACCAAGACACGTGACTGTAGGCTCCAAGAGGCAGAAGGCCTTAAGAGCACCTGTCATGTTATTATGTGTCGGGTGGCTACAGTAATGATGAATGACATGGGCCGTCTTGCATAATGGCCCATTTCATACATAAAATATTGTGGAATAAAAGATGAAAATATGCAAATAAATTGAATACAAAAGCCAATGATAGAATGACTAGCAGCATTATTGAGTGGAAATCTGTTTACACTATTGTCAAGATAAGCCAAAGGCCTCCCTTTTGTTAAAGCTCGTCACTGAGACTTGTGTTTGACTTTCAGTTTCCCATATCTTAGAAAAGATTGTTTTTACAGGACACCTATGCTTGATATTTGTCAACTCACTATATATTCTCAGAAATTGTTCTTCTGACTCCATAGTTACTCAAGGCACTACACAACTCACTGTGTCTCACAGGCAACAACCCTGAGAGGCACTTATTCCCGCCACAGTGAACTGCCAACATACTACTACCACCATATACTTTGTGTATATAGTACCATGGTACCATCTGCTGTGCCTTCTGGCCACTCTTTGATGACATCTCACCTCATCTTTTTGCCTAAGTAACATCACTAATTAAATTCTTACCGCCCCTTTTCTCCCGTGTTTCCTGTCATGAGTTAGAGATATTTCTAGAGTATAAATACAAGATTGAAGGTAAATCATTCTATAGGCTACTGGCCCTTCTTTGTTTCATGAATAAAATTCAATACCTGCACATATGACGAGTGCTTATTAATTGCCTCCTGCTGGCAGGGGTGATGCTTAGACACTGGCAATCTAACTGCAGTGGTTTCTACTTCCAGGGATGTTAGTACGTCAATGGCTGGCAAACGTGGTATTCTGGATTTAAAATGGCACTTCTTAGAGAAAACTACCAGATCCTTCATGACCTAACTTTAGCCATCCATCATGACTCTACTTTAGCCATATCTTTTCACTCCCTGTCTTATAACACAAAGGTGTCTGAAAACCAGTCAATATCTCCTGTTCTCTTATCTTTAGGCAATTTACTCTACCCAGAATTCCTCCTTTCTTCCCAGTTGCTAGTTCTTTCAGTATCTTCTGCAGGTACATTTTCTCAGGCCATTTTACGCCCTTGAGCCTCTCTTCCCAAGCTACGTCAGACACCAACTTCTGATCCAGTGTCTGAAGGCTTCAAAGCTATCAGTAGCTCAATCGCCCAGGCTCTCTGCAGTGGGCTCATGGGAGAAGAGCATGTCTCTGACCTATGTGTCATCTTCTCTCTGCGGTTATTGGTAACAGCAGTGCTCCAGAATAATTTCTTGAGTAAAACTGGTCGTATGGTGTTCCTAATTATCTGTCCTCCTGATAGACATTAGTGTGTTTAATGTATCTATCTACATTGATGAGCTTACTATGTACAGTATCTGTGAGTGCTCACACCTACTGCCTGCTTTCACATCATATTTCAAGAAGACTACTTTACCTGATAATCTCACTATAGAATCTACAGCTTTGAAAGAAGATTGGTAGATTTTTATTAATTCATTCAAAAAGTACTTATTAACCTACTGTAGACAAGGCATTTAGAGGCCGGGAGACATAAAAATACAGGTAACCACATCTCAGGAAGAATCCACTATGAAGGTAATAGGTTAGTGAAATTGAATGGGAAGGTGGCAGAATCTTCTATAAAGGTTGGGCAGCCAATACTTCGGCTTCAGGGGCCATGTGGTACCGATGTAGCCACAGTTCTCACTGCCACAAACAGTATGCAGTGATGGTGTATGCAGTGAAAATCTTTCTTTGCAAAAACGTAACACACATACTCAGAACAACAACAGCAACAACCAAACACAGACGTCTCGAGGTACAAGTATGTGCAGGGAGGACATGGGCCACACAGTAAAGAGAGTTAGAGAATGTACACATGTGACATAGCAGGAAATGGGGAATGGGACCCTAGATGGATGAATTCACGCTCATGAAAATTCAGACCAGAATTCCAAAATGAAGGTGAGGGAAAGCTGTGGGACCAAAGTGAGAAAACCAAGGGAAAAATTGGGAGAATCATTTTTAAAAAATTAAGACTAAAATATTAGAGGTATTTTCTCTTAAACTACCCAGTAATACCATAAACTTGATAACAGTTTACTGTTTAAAAAAAAATTAAAAGACAAAAGACACATTAGAAAGAATGTGCCTTTCTAGTATAGACCATTTTCATTGTCAATATTCCTTTGAAGTCAGAGATTTTTAGTGACTATTCTGGATAAACCTTGCAGATAAATGCAAACAGAAAATATGTTCCATGCTACACTAATGTAGGCTCTTGAATTCACAGGACTTACAGTTTGTTTGTTTTTTTTTTTGTTTTGTTTTGTTTTGTTTTGTTTTGTTTTCCTCTCTCTAGCACCAATAGCTGCAGGAACCGGCCCCAATTTTTCTCTCTCTGATTTGGAAAGTTCTTCATACTACAGCATGAGTCCAGGAGCAATGAGGAGGTCTCTTCCCAGCACATCCTCTACCAGGTAATTGGATTGGTGGCCTCTAAGGAGGCTAAAACACAAAGAGATATACCTTGATTTGTAACTCTGAGCCTGCTGGACATTTAGCAATGTGTCTATAACAACAGAGGGCACAAAAGACAGCCTCAATAAGCTGTCCCTTTAGGGAGGGCTTGGACGGACATACACACACCCTAGTAAGTAAAACAATTACTTCAGTCGTATGCCATGAAATAAGCATTTGAATAGGCTTTGTCCAAAAGGGTGAGGTACTCAACTCTGAATGCTGGTTAGCTTTAAGGTAATGCAGGAAAGGCATGGTCATCTGGGTGGGTGAGCAGAGACATGGAGAAGGGCGATAATGAATGCAGCATATTCTCTGGGAAAGATGAATGGGCTTCACTGAGGGAAAGAAGTGAGCGCTCTGGCTTGGTTGGCATAATGTAAGCACTAGTGACACCAGCCTAAACACCCTGGCCACAACCTTCTTAGCGTGCTGGGCCCTAGTAGTCTGCAAATCTGGCCTGTTGAAGTACCCTGAAGATGCAACTGATTTGATGTCCTGGCATGAGGTTATAAAAGAAATGCAGTTGGATGGGGCCGTACTTTGGACCCAGATACTTCAGGGGGCCTTAAAAAGCTTAAGTTGGAACTAGAATGCACTGTCCGCTGCAAGCACCGAGCTTCCTGATCCTCTTAGTTATCAGAGCCAACATCTAGAGAAGCCCTTTGCAAGACCCTGCTGTCTCTAGATAGCCTGGACCAGAGCTAGGGGATTAGGCATCAGAGCCATGGTTTTCCTTTACAAATTGGCTTTAGCACTGGGCTATGACAACAAAGAAAGGAGCACAACAGGGCTGTCAGTCATGTTCGTGTACTTTGCATAAAAACATTCATCAAACATGATTTCTGCTAAAGCAAGTACAGACATTTCTGATTAAAAGTGATGCCCAGAGTGCAGACACTTTCCTTAGTGGAAACCTACCTTGCCTTTATAAACAGTGTCTTAACCATCATCTTGAAAATGATTCAAGCAGTCATTTCTAACACTGCGTTATATTCTCATCTTCCGCATTGTTTAAATGCCCCCCCCACTCAGTTCATTACTCAGTCACCTCCACAAGAAAACAAGTGTCTCAAATCCCAAATGCATTTTTAACAGGAAGGGGGGATTATGAATACATTTGGGTGTTCACACACGTGGAGGATTTTGAATGTTTGCTGATAGAAGAGGCAGTGCACTCGGTCAACAGTAAGAGCTTTGTGAACACTTGTGGGCCGAGGTTAATTTAAAAGTTCATGGGTGGCTTGCTTTTCATATGGAGCATCTGTCGCGTCTACCTCCCTAGCAGCGACTCCTACCTCCTGTCCCTCCATACACCCCAAGCTCTGTTGTATGATTTTATGTTGTGACCTGTGGGTGAAGGCCAATAATTGTCATTTAAGAGGCTGATGTCATTCTTCTGTTCTGCAAATAAGTAGTCAAGTAGACAAGGAGTTAATTATAAATATCAATAAGTTAATAACTCAGTAATGTTTGTTTTTCTCTTGTTGGCCTCTTCCTGGAATTTTTTATTTAGTTATTGGTGTGGGGGGAGGACCCGGGGGTGGGGGGAGGAGAAAGAACTAACATGCAGGTATGCACTTGCAAGAGCATATATGTACAGATCAAAGGACAGCTTTTGGGAGCCATTTCTCTTTTTTCACCTTTACATGGGTGTCCCAGATAGGTTTATCAGGCCTACCCAGCAAGCACTTTACCTACTGAAGCATCTCACTGCCCACCCTAAGGTGATTTTAAACACAAGTTCTTGAATATATAGACCAAAAGGAATTATCTGTTTCAAAATTAGAAAATATGCCTTGACGAATTCCCAGAAAAACTCCCAGAAGAAAAAGTTACCAACTGGCCACTGCTGTTGATGCTATGTCAACCTTCATCTGTCTGTGGCTTTTTGGTTGTCTTTTTAACTTGAGCCTTAGTTGTCTCCAGCAGTTTTGCATTGCAATAGTGGAGCCACTAGAGCAGACAGCATTTAAGCAATATTCCCAGGGCTACAGCCATGGTAAAGATGGTCACCATTCAAATTCAGGTCTTCTGAAATTTACAAACAATAGTTATAGACACTGAACTGTCTTGGCAACAGTGCAGTACCCAGGAACTCTGGGATGTGGGATCCTAGCAAAGCAGTGTCTAATCTCTCCACCTACCAGGATGGTTCTATGTCCCTTGAAGGACAATGTCTAACTTTCCCATCTCATAAGCAAACAATAAGCACCAAAGAGTTATATTTGGCACTGTGGACACAAAGACAAATCAGAGGAGCTTTGCACACTGACAAGAGGAAATGTTCAGATTGGTTCATGTGAACACTCCATAAGGGAAATGGTTGTGGATACGAAACAAGACCTAATAGGTCTCACATAGTAGGAAGCAAGAGATAGAGCCCTTCTGTTAGATAGTCAGGAGGAAGAGACAGAATCAAGGACAAGTTCCAAGAAATAAGTAAAAAAATAAATAAATAGAACATAGTCCGTGTCCCAGAAGCCCCTTGCCTGTCCCTTGCCTGTCCTTCCTAGCAATGCCAACGTTCCTCTCTCCTGGATCCTGTTCTCCCTCTATCCACACTTCCATGATGCAGATGCAGCGTCTGTGTCCATCCTGATAGTCCTCATACGCGAGCTCCTGTGCCAGCTGTAGCCATCCAGTCTCCCACCTGTGCAATTCGTGCCTGCATCTTATGAAAGTGCCCCAAGAAAACCAACGCTTTAGAACTCAGGAAAATATTAATGATGGGCGAACAGCACACAGTGAAGTTGGCCTCTGGGGTTGGATCCCATTGAACATAGATGTGTGGATGATCCCTCGACACATGTACTCACAGCAGCCTTCGAGCACTTACAACAATCCAACACTGCAGTATGTGCTAAAGATTTAAAATAAAATAAAATAAAATAAAATAAAACCTGACACTAGTAAAAAGGTGGAGAATTCTTGAGTTGTCAGCCAGAATGAGGTGGGACTTTCTGCCGATATCATCCCATACTTCTGGTCCCCAGGGCCACAGAGTTCTCCCGGTTTGTTTCTCTAAAAGTCTGAGCGTTGGAGGCTGAATTCAGGGCTGTGTAAACGGTGGTCTCCTGATACACATGTAAGACTAGGAAAGGGGGCCCAGGGAAGGATGGTTAGGACAGCAAAAGAGGCAGAAATCTCCCAGGAAGTTAATATGCCACTCCCAGAGCGAGCGGTGTCGCCTTGCACCCGTGCACCCCGAGTGCAGGTAGGTAGGAACTTGCTTCTTCGTAAGCACCTCAATGCACCATGTGGATATCACAGTCTCTGCTGTAAAAAACATGCAGTCAAATTTGTAGGATGCAAATTATGGAAGAAATTCTAATTAGTCCTGTTGGTCATGGCAGATACATAGGTCTCGATGTAGCAAAGTAAGAATCATGAGAAATCAAGGCAGCACAAGTCCCTTGACAAGAGCATAGCTGCATCCCCACAGCTCTTAGCACCTTGCCACACATGCAAGTCTGGTCTTTGGTTAGCTGGAGGACACCAAGAGATTTCGCCCAACTCATAGCTCTCTAAGTTACAAGATGATTTCAAGTGGCTGACAGCTTTAAAATACAAATGTTACTAAGTGTGGAGGAAGAAGCCAAACTCCATATGGAGGGTAGGGTGCTCCTTATTAGATCAGGAGCGCAGACCAAGAGATGTGCTTTGAATTGGACCCTGAGCTATGTGCGTGCAAGGCAAGAAGGAGAACCAATGGGTCAGCTCATTTCTATTTTCCACTAAAAGAGACAATAGAAATGCATAGAGAGATACTAGGTTTTTCTGGTTTTTATATATTAGAATCAGTTTTCTGTGTGTATTTTGTATAATCTCAGCTAAAGGACATGCATTCAGTCAATTTTACATGAAACAGAAAAGTTCTTCAAGTGATTATTTTCATCAAACTTCAAGAAAAAAGAAGACCATTACTGAGATAGTCCAAGACCTGTCCTCAACTCCTAAATTAGCATGGTACCAAAAGGTTGCTTCCCTGTGATCTGGCTTTAATGAGAATAAAACCCAAAACCTAAAAACACTGGACTAACCACTCGAATGACTTGAATTTCTTACCTAAATTGCATCCTACACACTTTAAAACTTAAATTGTCTCCTGTTACTCAGGTTATAACCCCTCCTTCTCCTGCCACCTTCCCAAGTCCATTTTCTTCACTCACTAGCCATTTTTTCACAGTGTAACTCCCAAGCCAAACGTAGAGGGCTTCAGAAATCTTGTTGCTTGTAGGATAAAGTCCAGACTCACAGTATCTTCTCTGACCCTCATGCTTACCTTCTGCTGGGTCCCTCTGTTGGTTTCAGCATCTCTGTGGATCACACCTGACTTCGGCCACTGCCGACAGGCACCTGCTCCTGGAATGATACTCAGTATCTGGTGACCTTTACACCATGAGCTCAGCAGTAAGGGCAGATGCTACCTTGTCATTCTAGTGACCCCAGACAATGGCATTTTAGGTCTTGAGGCATGGAAGTGTCATGGGGCAAAGGAAAAAAATAATGCCAAATTTAGGGGAAAAAAAAAAAACACTTCCTGAAGTTTGAGACAGTAGCAGTTTGCCAAAAACTACAGAGGGTTTTAATATTTTTAAAATCATAATAGTGCCTGAGTTGTGCATTAGTGAGGTACCAGCCTCCCCTGGTCATTTCCTGATTCTATCACCATCTTGTTAGCACTCATAGACAGCTCAGGGGCCTTCTGCTCTGAAAAATCCAAGCTCAAGCTCCAGGTGTAAGAAGCAGTGTTCCCGACTCCCAGCCCGAGCATGGTTCCTCCATGCCCTTCTGTCTCCCTTGGGCTTCTCCATCTCTGCTCACACGTCTGACTCACTATACTACTCCACACTTGAGTGCTGGCCCTGGCACGGAGGAGCTACACAGCCCGTGTCTGATGAATGAAACCCAGGCGAAGTTCTGCATCCTAACACATGGGCAGGCTTCCCAGCAGTCACTGCCCAAGGCAGGAGATCTGGCCCTGCAGCAGTGCGTTGCTGGCACGCTCAGTTCGGTCAGCCAGAGCAGGAATGAGCAGCAGGTGATTCTTCGCTGTTTACTAACGCTCAAGTTTCACAGTGGGAGGAAAAATGCATTTCCTCAGCGGAAAGAAAAAAAAAAGAGAGATGGATTGTGGGAGTTCCTTGGTCGGACCTCTGTGGAAAACAAGTCTTCATTCACATAGATGAAACAAAATGTCATTTTGCTCCTCTCTGTGTAGAAGGACATAAAAGTCCGTAGACCACTCTATGGCTACGCCCTTCCTTGTCTCGAGGCAAAGCACTCCTTCCTGCTATTTTTAGCCATTCTGTGTGGCATTTTATCTCTGGTGTCTAGAGATTTATTTGGACTACATGGATGTATAGCAAATACCTTTTTTTTTTTTAATTTATGAGTAAATCTAAGTGGAGGATGGAGGAAAGCGAGCAAGGCATTCCTGGAAGGATCTTCAACCCTGCTTTTTATTTACTTATCTTTAACCTTCTCGGGGCGTCTTCATGGATTTGAATAGGTTTCTCACTAGAAACCAGCCCTGAGCCACAGCTGTGGAGATAAGATGTCTGGGCTTCCTAAGTGGAAGCCAAAGCAGGAGCACCAGTTCCATAAAGAGAAAAAAGGCACCAAATGGAGGTGGCAGCAGCGACTTGATCAGCAGAGATGGAGGCGGCGCTTGAACGCACAGGCCGAGACTGTGTACCACTTCCAGTGACTTGGCCAATTGCACAGGAGCCTGCAGCGGGTCCTGTAACTGCATGTTTTTCCAATGAATCATCCAGGAGGAAGGTGGCCTAGTGCGCTACTAAACAGGCATTCCTTTTCTCTTTCAGCTCTACAAAGCGCCTCAAGTCTGTGGAGGACGAGATGGACAGTCCTGGTGAAGAACCATTTTACACAGGCCAAGGACGCTCCCCGGGGAGCGGCAGTCAGTCCAGTGGATGGCACGAAGTAGAGCCAGGTGAGCAGGGGAGAGTCAGGAGTGCAGAAAACAGCATGTGTGCATGGCTGTGTTGTCGCACGGTAGAGCGGCAGCAGCGAGCAGCAGATACAGCAGAAGCGAATGACAGATGAGAGAGAGAGAGAGAGAGAGAGAGAGAGTGTGTGTGTGTGTGTGTGTGTGTGTGTGTGTGTGTGTGTGTGTGTGTCACGGGCTGTCGCTTGCACTGTGAGCCCATGTGTATTTTATTTTGCTTTGGTTGCTTGTTGAGCTGAGGTCTCCCTGTGTTGTACACAGTGGCCCTGAGTTCCAGGTTCCTCCTGCCTCAGCGTCTTGAGTAGCCAGAGTGGCAGTTCTCTTTTGTGTTTATAAACACACACGTTTTGTTTTGTCTGTTTGTTTTTAAGTATACTGAAGCACTCATAAGAAAAGCTCTCGACTTTTCCAACGACTTAGATAGCAGTGAAAAGTGGAATGAAGTTCCCTGTTCTGCAGATTACAATTGGATTTTTATAACATCTTGGTGTTTTTGTTGTTGTTGTTGTTCTGGGTTTTGTTTTTTATGCCTGGCTATCACCAAGATTGTTTAAGCACCACAGCCACCTTTATGTCTGTCTTCACTAACCCGAGTCCATGCCTCTTGTCTAACCTTGGAGCCGTCCAGTGACAGCAGTAGAATCTGAAGAGTGATTCTGATAGCAGCAGCTTCTGAAGACCTTAATATCTGACCTCTACGTGGCTTAGGGGAATGGTTCCAATGCCTATATCAATACAAGTCAAACCTTAATGTCTGACCTCCACAAGGCTTAGGGGAATGGGCTCCAATGCCTTCATCAATACAAGCCACGTGGGTAAGAGGATAGATGGCTCTGAGAATCATGGAGAGTACAGTCTTCGCTTCAGTGACAGGGCTGTGTGTTTATAGTCAGACTCCATGACTTTCCTGTAAAACACAGTCTGACAGTAGTAATAGCTGCATCGATGCTCTTGAGGATCAAGTAAGATGGTCTGTACTGTCCACTTAAGAAGTAGATCCAGCACGGAGTGATGTAGAAAAAAAAATAAAAAGAATAAATTCTTCGGCCAGCCCTCCCCACTCCTATCTCAGCCTGCTAGAACAGACGGGCACCAAGAAAATCTTGGAACTAGGCCCCTCATCTTCAGGGCTTTACACCTCCTCTCTCCTCCCCAACACTTTTTCAATATACAAACTCTGTGGCTATAGATGGCTTTATATGACTATAAAGGAGCAGCAGAAGGGAGATTTTAGGGTGATGGAGCCATCTGGGTCCTGATTATGGGAGTTACCATAATCAACATAATGTCTGAAATCACAGAAGTATGCGCCTCCTCCTTACCTTCGTTGCATTCTATCCCAACTGAAAACAAGTCACAATGACCCTCCCTGCCCTCTTGGCTGGGTCTTTTCTCTTGTCCCTTTATGGAAACGTGAAAGTCCCTGTGTGATTTCCTTCTGCCCAGTGCCCTCATGCTTATCTGTTCACCCACTCAGCAATCTTCAGTAGAATTTTCTGGATCAAGTACGATGCCACTTGTGAGAACTCAAGGGCAGATGAGGAGGCAGTGGCTGCTGCTTTCCAGAGATTAAGACGGGGCGTGGAATGAGACGCCCGTCTTCTCAGTGTTGTAGGGAGCACAGCGATGATGAGAGTCCCTAGGGTCTTCCAATGTCACCCGTGTGGTTGTTCTTTCCTGACGGCCTCACTTCACCTTTGTTCCATGCTCCTAACAGCTTGCCCAAAGGGCCTGAGAAATAAAGCCAGGCCAAGAGAGAACTCACACTCTGACTTCCATTGCCAGTCAATAGTGCCCTCCACGTAGAGCTGATGAGAAGTTTATGTGTATTAAAAAATTAAAAGATGGAAAACTTTTTTGAATCCCTTTCAAGGACTAATTAGTCCTCCCCAATGCCCCTGCTTCAGTGACGATTAGAATCCAGTATGTAGGTGTGGGACACTTTTGGTGGATCTCTTTGCTCACATGTTCCGTGTGCACTAAAGCTGGTTTATGATGTTGACGGACACAAAGCCCCTCACAGTGAGCCTGGCCCTCCCAGCACCCCACGCTTCCTCGCTGGCCTATCTGGGACCTGTGAGGGCTGGTTGAACAGAATGCTTTGGACTAGTAACTCTTTCATTCAAGGTGGTTCCTGTTCATACCTACACATCATGCTTCAAATAATTACGAAGTCTAACACCTGCATCTATGCACCCTCTGCATTCATCAGATAGCTAAGTTTAATGGTCAAACCCTCTTTATGCACAGGGATTTTTTCCCCTCCCCTTCTTCTGAAAGAAATTTGTGTTCCTGAAAAGACTGTCCATTGTCTGTCCTTGTTTCATTAAAGAAAAATGCAGTCTCATGGCATATATTTGTGGGGGCCGGAGAGCACAGTGGATAAATTTATATTTGGCCATCTTCAGCATAGAAAGTCATAATTGAAACAGGGCCTGAGGGGACATTAAAACACAACCGAGGGATGTTACACAAGCTCATGGCGACTTTGGTGTCATTAGCTCACACCAGCCACTTTAAATGGATAATTTATGCCGCCAGATGGTCCTTTTTGGGGATTTTCCATCAAGCCCAATCCCCTTTTTGGCACAGAGAACACCTTTATGTTGTTCCCACACTTATCCGGGCCTACATAGCTTTTCCCCAGGGGTACAGTTAATTAAGTGGGAGGCTTTTAGTGTTTCACTCATGTAAATTGCCTTCAGAAATATGTTGGGAATTATGTATATCCAAATGCATGGGCAGCCTGCGCTTGGGATAATTTTCTCAAACAAGTATGAAGGGCACGGGGTTTATGCTTCTGGTGTGACACAGGAAGCAAGGCTGTACTCATACCCCGCTCAGAGAGCTCAGCATCGGAGAAGTGCCCTCACTGGGTTGCAGGGGGGGGGGCAGGGAGGCTCCCTGACTACAGAGGCCAGCAGGTGGCCAAGAGAGACTTCCCTGAGCGACTGGAAGATGCTGGAAAGTGAACAGCCCAGTAAAGACAGGCAGTAAAGTACAGGCACGGTTTTCTCAAATATCTTCTGTAGTACCCCGTCCGTCCGCTGTTAGTTTGTCTCAGTTAGTTAGTTAGTGTGCAGCCACAAACGATGCTCACTGAAAACGCTAGGCAGTCTCAGGCTGGCCTCAGCTTCTCTCGGCGCTGGTCTGTTCCTACGTCCGTTCCCTCCGCTTGGTTTCATTTCTCAGCTGTCTCAGAACCTGGGTTGGATCGGATCTGTATGTGGCATGAGGCCTATGAAATTCTATCCATCAGAATCACACACCCTCAATGGCTATTTGGTCACACAAGTGAAAAGTTGCCAGGGAGCTGATAATGCAAATGATCAGGAAGAAAAGCTTCAGGCCGGGCTTCCTGGGCCAAAAAGTTGTGGTTGGATCCTCAGAGTGCCCACAGCTCACCTGGGTGTTTCCCTTCCTTCCTTCTTTCCTTCCTTCCTTCCTTCCTTCCTTCCTTCCTTCCTTCCTTCCTTCTTTCTTTCTTTCTTTCTCTCTTTCTTTCTTCCTTCCTTGCTTCCTTGCTTTCTTTCTTTTCTTTTCTTTTCTTTTCTTTTCTTTTCTTTTCTTTTTTGAGACAAGCTTTCCTAAGCCCACACTGGTGGTGTGTCTGTGGTCAGGATCTGTCTTTCAAACTAGAGTTGACCCCAGGATATGAGTTTGCTTCTGTGTTTAATCTCTTTAGTATGGGTATTCATACTAATATGTCAAGCTCTTGTGTTCCAGGTTCATACTTAGGTTAAAAAGAGAAGAATAAAAATAGCAAATAACTCATTAGAAAGACCTTGAAAACTCCCCATTTTCCTTATCTTGAACACTTAACATATAACCTAGGTCAGGAAAAAAAAAAA